CTCATTTAGCAAGGAATTATCTATTACGTTATAGAAACTTATGGTACATATGTTATAAGCACAGACTACAAAATAACATAACAAACACAACATAACCATGTTTTAAATTACATAGACATTTTTTTTAGGCACAAAGAGGTAAATGGCTCTAAATTTCAGTAATCGAGAAACTCAAAAACAGTATCAAGGACCTGCTTTCTATCTTTCCATGGGGCTAGTGTATTGGCTTTATCCTCAAGCTAGCTGATGTCATGGTTGTAGGATGGTTACAGCTGTTCCAAGCTTCATGGGATCTGGCAATATGTTTCTTAACCAGTGTCTCCCTTAAGAATGAAATATGCTTTCCCAAAAGTCTCAAGCAGATTTCCCTCCACATGTCATTGCAATTACATGCCCATGTCTAAATCAGACACTGGAGAGAGGTATGAGATGATCAGGAATGGCTCAGGGCAATCACTCCTCAAAGTCCCCTGGACCTCCTAGCTGTGCAGAGGAGGAGGTAACCCAGTAATTGGACTTCTGTCAGAAAGGAGGATGGAAGGGTCCGAAGTTGGTTAGGTACCTTTCAGGGCATGAGACAATGTCCTTCCCTCATGGTCGAACTAGTTTCCAAATAGACTGTAAACGCTTTGGACCATGTTTCAAGTTTCCTATAGTTGGGCCTAGCATGTTGCCTTACATAAAAGTTACTGCATAAAAATACGTTCAAATGCTACTTTCCTGGAATTCACTACGGCCTGATCAACAAAGCACCTACAGGTCATCTGAAGGAACATCATAGGAATCACTTTCATATACAGGATCTATTGTTGCCTAGGATTTGTGGTAATAAGCTTCTCTTTAGAGAGACATTATTTTATGTGTTCTTCTAGGTAAATCAACAGTCACCATAACAAATGAAAAAAAAAAACCCACAAAAACCATCCTATCTTTGATTTGCCAATTAGAATGACAGCCTTCTGTGGTTCTTTCTCTTTTATGCTATGCTGAATCTTTCAGTCACTCCCCAAGCTAATTAAGGCTTCTGACGCTAGTGGTAACATTCATATGGCATCAGGATGATATTTTTGGTCCCAAATATTTTTCCCATTCTTCTTGAACTTCTTTAGTTTTGACATATTGACTTGAATTTGTGTCCTTATTTTGCTCAATGTCTAAAATTTCATAATTAGAAGCTCATCTCTTTACATTAACAGGCTTCTCCCTTTTAATAGGCCCACGGCTGTTAACACATTAAGACAGGAACAGACATCACCTACTTTAGAGGGAATTCATTCGAGCTGACGTATTCACTGACTCTTGGTGTTGAAACGTACCTATCTTGGTGGTCATCTCCCAACAACGTGATATAGGCAATACTGGAATTTTAATTTCTTAGGAAAGAGGAGGTGCAGGGCTAATATTTAAGCAATTGCTTCTAAATCTGACTGTGTATCAGAAATGTATGAATAATTGCCTTTAAATCCTGATCCTGAGCCCCAAAGCATGAATTTAAATCAAACAGTGGTTCATGAGCCAGAACTGCTGAGAGCAAAGCTTAGTAGGGGTGGGGCAGGTGTAGCTGGAGAGCCATGGGGTCGGGGTTACTTTATCAGAGGGTGGTTTGAGGCTATGGTGGTGCTGAGGATAAAGAGAAAGAGGGGGTTCAGGATTGGTTCCAGAAGTGAGAGTTTACCTCAGACTTCTCTTTTAGTTATAAAATAAAAACTTCCCTGCTTTATAATTTTGCTTGGCGTTGTCTCTTGTAACATAGGACAATGGTGAATTGCAGAGGGATGAGAGAAGGAAAAAAGCATGAAGGCAGTGAAGGCAAAGGGAATAGTACACGCATTTGTGTCTGTGCGGGATGAGTGTAGCAGAAGAAAGCCTGGACAGGCAGGCCAGGCTGCAGCCTCATGGACAGGCCAAAAACTCTGGACTTCACCCTATGTGAGATGGGAAGCCACCGAAAGTTTGAAGCAAGGGGTTGATTGGATACAGATAAGAGTTTAGAAAGATAACTAAACACATTGTCTCATCAGGGACAATGAGAAGAATGGACCAGAAGGAGAAGAGCAAAAAAACAGAAAAAACACTTTATAGTTGTCTAGACACAAAGAAAGCAACGAAAGTTACAGGAGGTTGGGGGGGTTGGGGGGGCGCAGGACAGAACTTGGAGACGGGCTGCGAGGCTGACGCATGGGGAAAGAGCCCCAGGTTTAGTGTTTGCATGATTATGTTGCCATTACATGACAGTAGAGAATTCTGGAGGGCAGGTGTTGACTTTGATTGAGGACATACTGAGGACATGCTTACTGGACGTCTAGGTGGAGCTATTCGGTAGCAGATGGAAATCCTGATCCGGAACCAGGAGAAGAGTCTGGCTGGAGATCCTGACTTGAATGGGGAACCGGCCCAAAGAGAACTGGTGGGATGAAGACAAGGACCCAGGAGGGAGCTCTAAACGCTAAGGACTGGGCTAAACAGATCAGCCTATAAGAGAGAGTGAGGAAGAACTGCCTGGAAAATAGGAGAAAAATAGGGAGACTAGAAGACAGAGGTGGAGGGTGCATCAGGAAGGATAGAGCTGCCATATTGCATATTAAAGGAAGCATTTACTTATTCTGAGAGAAATTAGAATATTTACAGTTTGAAGGGAATTAGAGAAAGGATTTGAAGGTATTCATTAAAGAGGCAGTGACGCCGGGCAGGGCGCCAGGCACAGGGAGAAAAGATGAGGATTATCTGTGGCTTGGCAGCACACGGGGATGTAAGTGCCATGGTGCGCTTTAAAATTACATTTTCCTTTCCTCTGTGGACCTATTATTTAGACTGTGAATTATCTGGGCCCCTTATGGTCTTTCTTTTCCATCCCTCACCCGCCGGCTACCATTTCAGTGACTGCAAGCACTTAAACCAAGGGGTGATCAATGCAAGGTGATAAATATGAAACTGAACCTTGAGCACTGCCTTTTCTTAAATACCCACAAGAAGGTTTACAGCAAGTGTATTTGACTCTAAGTGTTAAAATGAGATTCGAGGATTTTAAGTTTCTACAGTGGTTGGCACGTATGCTGGAGAGGATGTGAGATGTATAAACACACATGTATGCTTGTTACATTTTTACTTTTGATATGTATTTATATTACACAACTGTACATATGTATAATTTATAAGCAACTATATGTATGTGTGTAGTAATGATGACTACTTTAAAAATTTTACATACTTAGAGAAATGCCATAAAAAATTCCAGCTATCGCTGACCTAGACATTCAATTATTTATGTTAATCTTGGATATTCATGGTATCAACAAATGAGGTTGCTTTCCTAGGAACCTGAATCAATATCACAAATGACAAAGCTTTATTATGAGTATTTTTCTTGAATTAAGAGAAAACTTATTCCTTGAGTATGCAAATAACTGAAACAGGAGGAAGGAATAAATATAAAAAAATATTTGTACAGATGTCATTTTAAATCACCTCTGCTTGCTAGCACTGATTTGTCCTTATTAACTAACTCCAGGTTAAGAATCTCTATACCTGACTTCATGCCTTGGAGCAATACATTCCACTAAAGTATTTCTCACTGCTCTTCAAAAACAAGCCTCAACACTTCAAAGATAAGGAAATAATGTTATGTTTCCATAGCTTTTGTTAATAATGGGTAATTAAAGAAAGAAGAAAAGCTTGGATTTAAATGTCTGTTAGTTCCTGGGAAGGTTGTGGTGTTCCAGGGACTGATTTTAATGTGACCCCAACTTTATCTAAAACCCCTAGATTAGGGTTGATGGCTCCTCTAACCACCACAGAATATCTTGGGGGCCCAACACAGGAATATCTGTGAAGCACCAGACACAGAATTAGACAGAAAACCTAATGATGCCTAGTCTGTGCTGGGGGTAGGGATGGTGGTGTTATTTCTCTGTTATCTCTGGGAGTAAATGCTACAGGGTTATCTGGATTAGGTTTCTTCCAGAATAACGAATAGCATGTCTAAATGCCTCAATAGAGGATAAACAAATATATATAATACATATTTTCATAATATATGTATTTTTATTATATAATATATGCCATATATTATATATATCAGGAAATATTTAATATTATATATATATTCTTTGTAAAACACTTGTTTTGATCGTTGTTCAAACTACAGAATTTAAATGCGACTCCCCCTCCTCCTCCCAGTAAACTAACGTTCAGTAGTAAGCACACACTAGGCTCTGGAAAAGATTTGGAGAAGGTGCATGTGAGGGATGACGGTCAAACAACTTAGCGCAAAAGGAATCAGGTATTGGTCGGTCTCACTATCACAGCCCTGCATCTGGAGCTATGGCTTGTTAATTCTCTTGTTGGCAGCGGCTAAGATCAAGAAAGTAAAAAGAACTTTTCCTGGCCCAAGTTTACATTAAGTTGAACAGAAACGTCACAACAATTGGAGGAAGGCAGAAGGGAAGGAAGAATTTCTGTTCTGCCAAGTATTTAAGAGGCGCTTGGTTTCTCTGTGTCCCTTAAGGGAAGAAACATCAGTGCTGCGGCCTGAAGAAATGGGAGCATTAATTCACACACTTGGGCTGAAAAGCAAGTATTTGGGGCGCCCAGACTCCTGCAAAGCCACCAGGCATCGCGGAGTGTGGTGCGGGCGCTGGGCGGCACCTGCAGTCTAAGCCACCGGGCAGGACTCTCCATCTTCAGGACACCCCTTAGTCGCCACTTCTTCTGCCTGGGTGTGCGTGCGCGTGGGTCTAAAACCAAAGCGCGCAGTGAGCTGACTTTGAAGGGTGCTTCGCAGATAGGATTGAGTCAGGCCTTATGGGGACGCCAGGCGGGGGAGAGAGGGAATGGGGAGTCTTTCCCTATCCAGCTCCGGATGGCTGGGAGCCTGGGTCCACGTGGAATCCAGCAGAGAGAAGAGCTGCTTGCCCCCCGCATCCCGCAGACTCCTCCCTCCTGCACCCAGGCCCCGCGCAGGTCCCTCCAGCAGCTGATGGAGAAGGAAACTCCTCGCTTACCTTGACTGAGCAGTAACACCAGCAAGGGCGCACCCCCCGTCCATCCTGGCCGCATCCTGAGTCTGCCCGGGGACGGTAGCTGCTGTCGGTTTGCAGAGGAACTCCACAACCCGGACTCCTCAGAAGCGGGCCCGCGAGCTTTTCTCCCCCGCCCGGGTGAGGACAGGGAAAAGTTGCCTGGCAGCTCCTCGGGCGCCAGGGCCCGCCCCGCCCCGCCCCTCGGCCAGGCTAACACCGGATCTGCCCCGGCTCCGCCCCGCCGAGCCCAGGCCCTGCAGCCCCGCGGGGCACCTGCGCTGCCACACCCTCGGAAACCGCACCTTAACTGCCCTGCGAGGTCCAGGTTCCCGCATCGCCCAAGCCGCGGGGCTGGAGTCGGGGCGCTTGTCACTGGGCTGGCGGGGCACACCCGACGGGCGGGAGCCGGCCTCAAACTACCCCGCCCCCTGATGGCCTGCGGCCCGCCCGCGGGAGACCCCCGGTCTCCCGGAGAACCTTGCAACTTCTGCAGCCCTTCGTGGCTCCAGGCTCCTGGCAGAGGTGGAGAGCGATGGGGAGCCGCGAGTCCGAAGCCACGCTTTTCGGGGTGGCGCGGTGCGTGGCATTCTGTGCTTTTCTCAAGTGGGTGGAGAAGCGGACAAAAATAAGTGCAGAATGACCAGGTTAGAAACTAACTCGACAGGAAAGAAGATCTGCTCACAAGTTATGATTATCCGAGGTATATTTAAGCAAGACCTGTCGCAAGAGCACCGTGTGTGTGTGTGTGTGTGTGTGTGTGTGTGTGTGAGAGAGAGAGAGAGAGAGAAATCCTCATTCATTCCTCTCCTCCAAGATAATAAGCAGCTGATTTGATTACTGAGTTTAAGCGATTTACTTCAAGACACAGAGACAAGTGAGAGCCCATATATGAAATTATGACTCTTCCTCTTTGTACTACATGTGACCATTTCCTTCCATTACTTTAGTCTCAGATCTGGAAGCAGGACATTCTATAGCCCTATCTGAGACTTTTTACTTGCCAACTTAAGAAATAGAATATTCAATTTTTTTTCATCTGTTTTTTTTTCCTCCAAAAATTCACTCACAAATCGCCAGCACATTACTGAAAACAGAATTCTTCCAGGGACTCCTTTTGTGACATACTCAAATGTTTTAATAAAGCACAATTAAAGAATTATTAGACTAATCATTCTTATTATCGCCATTCCAAATCTCCGTGGAGCTGGTGGAATGAGCCCTATGGGATGCTTCGGATATTGCCACTCAGAAGTAAAGTGAGGGACACCTGGGCGGCTCAGTCCCATGAAGCGTCCAACTCTTGGTTTTGACTCAGGTCATGATCTCACGGTTGGTGGTTCCAACCCCACATTGGGCTCTGTGCTGACAGCGTGGAGCCTTCTTGGGATTCTCTTCCCTCCCCCCCAAATGTGCTTCTCCCCCACTCACGCTCTCTCTCAAAATAAATAAATAAACATTAAAAAAAAAAAAAGTAAAGTGGTTCAGGGTGGAAGGACTTAATTAATTGGTAAAAATCAAATGCTCCCCTTTCTAGCTGATGCTGGAGTCTTTTTTTTTAAAGTACTAAATTGGTATTCATCAGCTGCTGCTGCTTATAGTCATGATTATAAACTCAGTACTTTTGAATTAAAAATGTATAGCCCCTGGTTGTTTCCTGTTTTCTTATCTGTCATTTACTAATTCTACTTACTAATCCTGACAAACACTTGAAGCACTTTTTTTCTGACCTGTTTATGATACTCACCTGATTAGTAAGACTCCAGATATCACCTGAGAGCTCTTAGGTGGCCGCTCACTAACCCTGACACCCAGCCTTGACTCTCCTCACAGACTTCTTGCAGGAAGTCAGCCAGGTTTCAGTGAGATGAATATCTGTCTGTTTCCTTCTGACTCACTGAAATGTGAGTAAGTGTTTGGAACAGACCCTTGTTTGGGAGGCAGTATAGTTAGTTCCCTTCGTGTGAGACAGGAATCTGTGCTTTGTCTCTGGGTGCTCGAGAGGAAAATGCATGCTTCTTTGCTTTTGTGCTCAGAGCTGGGCAAGTTAACATCATGCTGGCATGAGGCACAGATACATCAGGAGCTATATATATATTTCTGGAGCAGGCAAAAATTTCAAAGTTCAAGAAACAAAGAGTCAACTCCTGCCCCGCACTAATTTTGAAAGTGTAAAAAGAGACAAGGCGTTCTTGAGACAACACAGTTTGAGAACTCCTGTCTTAGTCGTTTGGGGAACGATTCTGACTAGGTGTAACAGTACTGGACACCACATTCTGAGGAAATAAAATGAAGGCAGGGCCTTTTAAACTGTCAAGGAGCCCTTTGCACTTAAAATTATTGAGAATCTCTCAGATGAATGGATAAAAGATGATGGAGATCAACATTAATATAAGTGTTAATATATTTCATATTTCATAAAGTCCTTTATTGGCTGCCAGAGCTGGGAGTTGCCCTTGGAGTTTGGGGGTCCCAGTCTGGAGTCTCCAGATCGATGGCGCCCCTGCCTCTGTTCCTGACTGGGGCAGATGGTCCCCTCTGACAGGCTACTTAATTTGTTCCTTTAGGTATTCCCAGCTCTCCTTGGAGGGGGGCCACTGAGAGAGCCAACATCACCATAATGATGTCTGAATTCCAGGCCTTGTGGATGTGAAAGTTAAACTTTGGGGGCACTGAGAGTTGGGGTATCTTCAGACTGGTCTGCTCACACACACAGTGGCTGAAGTAGTCCATGGCTGGGGGAGCCTACCTCCTCAGACTTCTGAAGGACAGTCTGGCTCTTGTTGCTAGGCCCCAGCAGCTCCAGGCCATACACCACGTAGACGGCGCCCCCAGCCACACTGCCCTTGATGAGAAACCTCCTCAGCAAACACAATTGGGGCACCATGGTTGCTGAGCTCTGCACACAAGGACAAGATGATGGGATATTATCGGGGTACCATAGTCAGCTCTGCACACAAGGACAAGATGATGGGATATTATCGGGGTACCATAGTCACTCAGCTCTGCACACAAGGACAAGATGATGGGATGTTATTGGGATACCATGGTCACTCAGCTCTGCACACAAGGACAAGATGATGGATATTACTCCCATAAAAAAGAAGGAAATCTTGTCATTTGCAATGACATGGATGAAACTGGAGGACATTTTGTTAAGTGAAATAAGCCAGACAGAAAAAGACAAATATTGTATGATCTCATTTGCATGTGGATCTAAAAAAGTCAACTCATAGTACAGACACTAGAGTGGTTACCAGGGGCTGGAGGTGAGGAAAATGGGGAATGTTGGTCAAAGGGTAAAACCTTCAGTTATAAGATGAATAAGTCCTGGGTGTTTAGTGTACAGCAAAGTGACTATAGTTAATAATATTGTATTGTATACTTGATACTTGCTAAGAGATTAAGTCTGAAGTGTTCTCACAACAAAACAAATAAAAATGGTAACTGTGTGAGTGATGGATATGTTAATTATCTTGATTGTGATAATCACATCACTGTGTATATCAAAACCTAACGATGTACATCTTCTATATATACAAGTTATAATTGTCAATATTGAGGATCCCAAAGAACTTTTCTTCATGTGGATTATTTCTCCCCATATTTACCATGTAAGAAATTGAAATAGATACATTTTCTAATATTTATATATTAATTCATTATGTATTAATTCAATAGTAAGGCTCTTATGTGTTGACATAAATAACATATTTTACAAAAAACAACTACGTTTCCCCAAATAAAGAAAATCATGAGAAGAAGAGCATTGCCTTACATTTTTGCCAATCTTTTCAATGTCTGGCTTAAAAAATAAACACTTGGATTCTCATATCTTCTCCTGCACCCAATCTGTCGTGATATGTACTTTCAGCGAAATTATATGAATTAATCTGGTATTACACACATGTAATTGAACAAACAGGACATAATTGTGGGTATTCTTCTGATACTGCCCCCAAACTCAACAAGTGGTAGTTTCTTAAAGATTAGTTCCAATATGGAATCTGAAACCACATCAATAAACTTTTTCTACCCTAGTGATTTGCAAGCTCAAAGTTCCTGGGATTAAAATTTGAAACTGGCCCCCATATATGGAGGGCAAGGAGAGAGAAAAGACAAAGGCAGACCCCTTCAGCTTGGGTGGTGGCAATTTAAAAAGCAAGGGAACTTGTATACTTGGCTTGTCTGGAGTGGCCACAAGATGAGCAAATCTCCATACTTGCTGCCAGAAACTTAAGTTTATGTAGAGGCCTTAACAAACAGGGTTCAGTCATTTATACAGTTTGGATGGTCTTGATATCAGCTTACTTTCTCAAAGCTGTTGAGAAAGTACAGTCCCTGTTGTACAGTCCCTGTAATGGCTTCTAGTGTGGAAACAGTAGGCAGAACATACATTTCAAGGACAAAGGAGAGGATAAGCAGCCTCCAGTTACTTGGGTCCAGCTTGCAGGTCAATCAGCAGTCACATCCTCTTGATAACCTCCTCCAACACGCAGCACATTAAAATTCATTGGTCTACTGAGTACTTGGAATAGGACTTTTACTCAGGCAAGGTTTTGTCCCATCATGCATTGGTCGTTTTGAAAATATTGGTTCACTGAGTTATGCAGATTTTCTAATAATTGACACATTTCATTACACAATATTAAAAAAATCATATTGTCACCTATCTCGTTAGAAAAATCTTTATATATTGCAAAGCTGTCAAGCTCATGCCATCCCAGCAGACACACATTTTCCAAAATTCCAATTTCCATTCAAAAATTGAATTTTATCACTGGCCACGCATACTATCAGTTGTTCTGTGTGAAAAGAAAGGCCCATTTCATTCATTTTTGAGAAATGTCTATCAAATACCCAAGTCTGAATAGTCATAGTTTGTCTATCAATGTTCTTTGAAGTAAAACTGGTGTTCCATGAAAAACATGGCTAGGGGATACCTGGGTGTTTCAGTCAGTTAAGTGCCCAACTCTTGATTTCGGCTCAGGTCATGATCTCATGGTTCATGAGATCAAGGCCTCTGTCAGGCTCTGTGCTGACAGCATGGAGCCTGCTTGGGATTCTCTCTCTCTCTCTCTCTCTCTCTCTCTCTCTTTCTCTCTCTCTCTCTCTCTCTCCCTCCCCCTCCTTCTCTCTCTCTCAAAATA